TTCCTGTGACGAAATGACAGATGAATTTAATAACACACAATTACGTATATGTAAATACATGCACTCTCACCTGATGGTGCAAAAATGGTAGTAGCACATACTGGACATTCATTTACAAAATGTTATTAATAGTGCACTGTGATTGTAATGGGTAACATATGGTGTAGGTAATTGATGCATATGCTGCTATGTTGACTGAAATGCGTAAGACGGTGTCTGGAAGAGCAGAATTTGTGGGCACGACATACGTTTACACTAGTGTGTATTCGGTATGTAGCATAACTAGCGTTCATTTGCACAAAATCTGAAAATAATATTTTCTGTAATGAAATTTGACACGAATTTGGTGGCTTTGGAAAATTGTGCAAGATATGATGCGGAACAGCAGCGCAATGTCGCGAACGAAGTACTTGAACGTACAGATGAAGGCTGCGTGAGGGTGCATATATACACTATTCCCGATCTACAATGCCAACGAAGTACTTGAAAGTACTTGAACGTACACACGAAGTACTTGGACAGTCATGGCACACGATTCAGAAAGTGGGAATTGGAAACATTACAACTCCATGAGGCCAAGACGTGGAGTGCGTGATGAGCATTACAATGAAGCTCTAAAAGTTGTAAGTACATCAACACAGGCAGTAGTTCATATATGATTTTTTGTCGATTTGTAGTGGTGGTGCAATGGTAGATTAATAGATTGAGTTCTGAATGTGCATGGTTGATGAATTGTAATGTTTGTTGGTTTCAAAGTCACACAGTACGTATCTAAACTAACATGTGAGAAATCAATAGAAACAATGGGTGGCCGACCACCACAACAAGTTTGTGAAACCAAGAGTTACAGCTGATGGTATTAGGGCAGACCTTTTTTATGGGAGTTTTGTATCTGTTGTTGATTGTCCGCAACAAGTTCCAGAGTCGTAAGTAATTGTCATATTAGAATAAGTTCACTGTTTTGATGATGTGTTTGTGTAAGTGACGCTGGTATCGGTTTTTGTGAGTGCAGGTCGGATTGCGGAATTTTCACATGTTTCATTATCAAGCAGCACATTCGTGGGGCAGAAGTCGATACTACGATGGACGGTCTCACACCAACTGGGCTACGAGCTGCGATGGTGGACATGTTCTTGAGTGACCCGGGCAGAGGACTCCGTGGTAGGACATTGTAAAAGGTGTTCACGTTGCTCATTCCAGAAGGTGCAAGAACGTGGTTACAATGTTTTCTCCTTGGGTTTCATGGACGTACATATATGTTTTGTAATTCTGTAAGAACAGAACGTTAGCAAGGAAATTTTAAATTGGGTAGTTGTCTTTCGTGGGGCAGAAGTCGATACTACGATGGACGGTCTCACACCAACTGGGCTACGAGCTGCGATGGTGGACATGTTCTTGAGTGACCCGGGCAGAGGACTCCGTGGTAGGACATTGTAAGAGGTGTTCACGTTGCTCATTCCAGAAGGTGCAAGAACGTGGTTACGATGTTTTCTCCTTGGGTTTCATGGACGTACATATATGTTTTGTAATTCTGTAAGAACAGAACGTTAGTAAGGAAATTTTAAATTGGGTAGTTGTCTTATGTTGCTTTATTATCATGGCAAATGGTGCACCAACGGTTTAAGCATTGGTTAGAATTGGTTTTTTTGGGGGACGTAAATGTTGATATTATTTTTTAAGCAATTAAAATAGTTTCTTGGATTCCATAGTAGCAGCTTTGAACCTTACGTGCGAAAAAATTATTTCTTACACGTCTACTAGTATGCCATTGTCCTTTTATTATCGTATGGTGGAGATGTGATGGTAATGTCGTTAACAATGTGAATTGTATGTTTACGTTTTCATGTGAATAGGCATGACATTGTCTCTTAATGCCAGATGGTCCTTGGTATATATATATGGTATGATCTACACAGGAGGTTACATTTTAACAGTGAGTTGGGGGAAATCTGTTTTACCACTATGGGAGTAAACGTGGTTTGATCTCTGCGTAAGTTGACATGCGCACATCGGCTACGTGGTTAATATGGCACGAGAGTAGAATAATTGGCCATTGCCATTTTAAGTATCATTGTAGGGACAATATTTCATTATTAACATAATATTACATTGCACTCATATTTTTTTAAAACAGTGGGTTTGTGGTGCATATTGTGTATGACGTACAGTGAATTGCAAACATACACCCAAACATTAAAACCATTAGCCTTCCATTATTTGAAACAGTGGGTTGTGGGTGACTGACTGGTATGATGTGCACAGATATGAAAACAAACGACACACATTACTGTTACGGTATAGCAACATGAAAGTGATGTCTTAATGTAATGTCCACGGTGGTTGGTTGTTAAGGGTGTAGTATGTGATTGTTCAACAGTGGCCACCGAAATTAAACCCATAACAGAAAGAGAAGTGTATATTCTACCAATTTGAATAAACCCATAACAAAAAGTAAATGAGTGATTATAAAACAATGTCAAAAACATTTCAGAAAACAGAATAAAAGTCCAACTGAATCCCAATTTGTGGGGGAAAGAAAATTAAACCACATGGCAGGCCGTCTGTGACGACTTTTTGCATGTCTTCCTATTGTGATCGCCCAATTTTTCGCAACGCCCGCAACGTATACGTTACACTACCTCGCCCTTGGAGGGAATTCTCTTCCGTTTGGGCCTACCGGGAGGACGCTTGACTGTCAGCGGTGTTATGAAATATTCATTTGGGTTAAACGTCGGCCTCTCTACTGTTGGAATGGGGTATATAGTTCCGCTATAAGTAGCTCGAAATGTCTCGATGTAGAATCCAGAGTCTATTGAATCATAAATGTTTCTCCCACTATTACGGAATGCAACAACAGCATGGGAACACGAGAACCCATTAATCTGCCACTGAAAACAGGAACATGTCTGCTTGACGACGTCAACCAACACCGACGGGTGGGAATGAACCTCATACACATCATCGACAATAAATCCTTCCCTGAGGTTTTTGTTTGATACAGATTTCTCTCTTATGTTTAAAAAATTGCATTCTTTCTCTGAGATTTGTAATCTCATTATAAATTGCCACATGGATAACTAATGTCATACCCTAAACTTTTTAAATGACTATTTTGCCTTTTTTTGTACCATTTCTTCTTCCTACCAGCATGATTACATTCTATAATTTTTCGTCATTAAATTCTACTTGAACATATTTTTATTGAGTGATGATATACAAACATAAATTTTAGAATAATGTTATATGCACCAATTAGTGTACTAACTAATATACTAGGCACCATTTGGGAAGAAGAATATGTGGCTTTTTTGGCCATTTTAGCCACAAAAGACAAAATAACATATTTTAGCCACAAAAAATAAAACATCACAATCAACCCATAATCATTATACTCTTCTCTCACAAAAAAAGTCAAAAAAGCTAAAAAACCAAAAAGCCCTTCCCAAACCAAGCTTTTTAGCCCAGACTAAAATAGCCAAAAAATTCAAAAAACCAAAAAGCCAACATACTTCCCAAACCAACCCGAATTGATGATGTGACATAGTTTAAGAGATTTTTGGAATTTATAATGTGATTAATGAATGACGTCAATAATAATATTATAACCAGTGTTGGTATACTAATTAGTGCACTAATTGGTGCATGTAGCACTATCGTAAATTTTATATAAAATTTTCAAACACAATGATATAGTTTAATGGTAACTTTTCATTTTAAAACAAAATACTCATAAACATGATTTATATTTACAACAAAATCACTATCACAATATTTTTATAATATTTTTTGTATAAATTTTATTATATAAATATAGTTTTTTATTTTTATTTCAGCAATCATTTTTCTTTCTCGTCTATTTACCCACATTTATTAGAGTATTACCAAATATCGTCATTCACATTTATTACAGTATTACTAAATTTTTGCTTTTTTTTTTTTGTGTTTGGTGAATTTTAAAAAAAATACAAAATATTATATTTCTTATATATATCTAGATTAAGTAAATTTTAAAAAATAAAATATTACTTAAAATATTAAAAAAAATTAATTTTTTGTGTGAGTTAAACTAAAGAAGATGATTGTTATTTCTCTTAAAATGATACGAATAAAATATCAACATCATTATATTATTTTATATATAGAGAGAGGTTAAAGGGTAAATATGTCATTTTAATTTGATATTGGATAAGTGTAATTTTTCAAATGTGAAGAAGGGATTTGTATTAAACAAAAATCTGAAGGTGTGTTAGTGTAATTTATCCCCAAAAAATAAGGTTCATATATAAAACTAATCTGAATTATTAATGTGAAATTTTAAATTTTTATGTCTAAATTAGTAGAAGGGTTGTGCAAAATACAGTCAAATCTCTTAAAATTATATTGATCTGTATCAATCTGCACTGCTCCATTCGTTAATCACGAATTAAACTTTAAATTTTATAATCCACATTCAAAATAGCTCCGCTCTGCTATAGTTAATGTGTGTGTATATATATATATATTTTTATTCTAATAAAATATCAAAATAAAAATGAGCGTGAAAGAAATTTAAAATAGTGTAAAATTTATTACAAATTAATAGTTATATATATAAAAAATATTATATAAAATTAATTTATATTATATATTATGTAAACATTTAATAATTGGTTAAAATATATTTTAATTTTTTAATTTATTTAAAATCGTACAAATGATACCCCACACCTTTACTAGTAAGAGTAATAATTCATAATTTTAAATTTAAAACTTTAACGATGATTTTAATAATATGACATAAAACCAAAAACAGAGAAAAAACAAAATATATACATCAAATTATTTATGAATAAAATCTACTACCACATTAGTAAAATCTTCATTGAAGCTCTACATTTAATTCTTTAATATTGTATTTAGTTAAAAAATATAAAGGGAGATATAAAAAAAAATTCTTTTTATATTTCTTCTTAGACCTCTCAATCAAATGCAGCGTTAAACATCTTCGTATCAGTAATATGCATTACTGTTTACAAAAAGTGCGAGGCTGTGAGGATTAGCGTACCACTTGGCATTTTGGCTCTTTGTCTAGCACCGACCCTCCTTCAATAAATACAAACGCCAAATCTGACTTCAATCTCTATTCTACTCTCTCTCTCTCTCTCTCTCTATCTAATTGCGTAGTTGTAGTAGTGCAGAAGCCATGGACCCAGTACGACAAGCGTTGTTCAGGCCACCGGAGACCCCGCGCGAGCCAATGGAGTTTCTGTCTCGTTCTTGGAGTGTGTCTGCTATGGAAGTCTCCAAAGCTCTCTCCCCTGCACAGATGCTATCCAAGACCTTCAGCGGTGGTGGTGGTGAAGCCATCACGGAGGACATCGCCGGAGAGGTGGAGGAGGCGGCCACTGTCTCCGGCAACCCTTTCTCGTTTGCTTCTTCTGAGACTTCTCAGCTCGTTATGGAACGCATAATGTCACAGTCTGTGAGTATATTAACAGAGTCATCAAAGCCATGTATATATATATACAATTTGTGAGTAATTTGTTTGTTGGGTCTGTGCCAAACTGTCTCTCTTTCTAAAATGGTTCCTATATTATGGACAATCAGATGTTAATTTGGTGATATTTCATTGTATTTGCTTGTGGGTTCTTCAAATCTTGTCAAAAATTAGGCAGCTGCACTATCCTATTTTTTTGATTCTGTGTTTTTGGGGTTGAAGTTCATGGGAAAACGAAGTGTTTCTTGGAACTTCCAAAGCGTTTTTGGATATTTATTTAAGTAGAGCAGTGGCTTTCTATCTTCTCGAGAAAACATTAGTGAAACAGGCCACTCACTTTTCCTCTGGGTTTTGCATGCTTCATTTTCTCATTTTTTGTTTCTCTATCTTTCTCCTCACTCTTCTAGGACAATTTTTAATCATAAACACTGACAATCTTGGCAATTTATCTCTCTCTTCAAAACCCAATTGCTACTCTGTTTTCTCAATAATTTATTCACTTTCAACTAATCAACAAGCCTCAATGATGTCTATTTGTATTTACAGTGTATATATATATATATAATAACACGAAATGATCGGTGGTGTACAGCAGGATGTATCACCGCGAACTTCTGGAAGACTCTCTCATAGCAGTGGCCCTTTGAACGGTGGCTCTCTCACCGACAGCCCCCCAGTCTCCCCCTCCGAAATCGACGACAAGGTCTCTCTCTCTCTCTCTCTCTCTCTATATATATATATATTTCTATATATCTGTATATACAAATATGACACACCCTAGTGTTTGTTTTCTTTTTTTGTTATAAAACACAAATAATGAATTCTTTTTGTTTGCTTCCAAACAATGAAGGGGAAGGAGGGAACAATATTTCAGCTTTCTCAGTAACCAAAAATGTCCGTAATTACACTTATATACCTCAGATATATAGATAGTATTTATATAGCTGTTTCGCTTTCTTCTATACATAAAGCTGTAATCACCTGTTGGGTATGTTTTCGTGATGAAAAATGTTTGGTGGTCCGAATTGATGTGGCTCAAATATGTCAAAATGACGTCGTTTCGGATGTCTTGAGCTATGTTTTTTTTTTGTATTTGTATGAATTTAAAAAATAAAATAAAATCTGGCTACACTTTTTCCACTCCTCTCTTCTCCTTGATTTGATAAAAGTGTGTAGTAAAAGAACCCCCTTGAGGAAAGCTGGATTTTTTGGGTCTGAAATTCACCATTGTATATTTGTATGTGTGTATAGGCATATGTTCACATGTTTCTCTTAAATTAATGGCTATTTAATGCTTTGTTTGGATCTTTTATTTCTCATTTTATGTATTTACTGTTTTATTTCCACAAATTCACTATTGGAATAGCCTTCATGCAGACCAAGTGTTGGTCCATTAGATGAGTCGTTCACTTACCCGATTTGATATCTGGGTTCGAATCTTATTGTTGTGCTAAATATTTTCTCATTACTCTATTCCCCACTTATTGATTGTAGAAAAAGAGTTTAAATGCGTATCTGTACACATATATACGTACACATTGTTCCATCCACTGGGGGGTTAAGATATAGTATATGGGTGAATGCCAATTTTCAGTGTGAAATTCTAAAATTCTATCTAGTGATGTCAAATTGTGGACACATTTATGAATAAGGACAGCCAAACCACACAGTGGGTGGGGTGTTTAATTGCGAACCACCCGCCTACTTTAGAAATTCAATGCTTATGATCGTTAAATTGCACTGTTAACATCTACTAGGCGTGTTAAACATGACCTGTACAGATGACTGATGTGGATTTGTTTTTTCAGCTTGCTCGTCTCAACAACCCAATAAACACCCAGTATAGTTGGGCCACAGGCGGCGGCGGCGGTGCCGCCACCAGTGGTGGAGGGAAGACGGTGGGGAGGTGGTTAAAGGACAGGAGAGAGAAGAAGAAAGAAGAAACTAGAGCTCACAATGCACAGCTCCATGCTGCTGTTTCAGTTGCTGGGGTGGCCGCTGCTGTGGCGGCGATTGCCGCTGCCACAGCGGCCTCTTCTGGGTCAGGAAAAGACGAGCATATGACAAAAACCGATATGGCAGTTGCCTCTGCTGCCACTTTGGTGGCTGCCCAATGCGTCGAGGCGGCCGAGGTCATGGGTGCTGAACGCGAGCACCTCACCTCTGTTGTTAGTTCTGCTGTTAATGTCCGGTCTGCTGGAGATATCATGACTTTAACTGCTGCAGCTGCCACAGGTTTGTACGTTTAACGGTTATTTTCGTCTGCATTATGTAAACATATTTTTGTTTCTGACAAAATGTTTATCTGAATTTGGTAATGTTGGTATATTGTTAACTTTTCTCGGAACTATGTTTATGGCTGTTAATTATATTCCTATGTAATGTACTACTATGCATTTTGGAATTGTTGTTGTGTGCATTAATTGTGGTGGGGGATGTAGCTCTGCGTGGGGCAGCCACATTGAAGGCAAGGGCATTGAAGGAGGTCTGGAATATAGCGGCAGTGATTCCTGTGGAGAAAGGAATGGGAGTTAGTGGCGGGGTTGGTAATGGCAGTAATGGTAGTTCAAACGGTAGTTTCAGTGGTGAGCTTGTGCCCGAAGAGAATTTCCTTGGCATTTGCAGTCGGGAGTTACTAGCCCGAGGTTGTGAACTCCTAAAGCGAACTCGCAAAGGTCTGTCTTTCTATTTTTCTCAACTCTTAGAACATATGATCTTGTTGGACTGGTTGTCATGTCTATTATAAACACAAAAATGGGAGGATAATATTGGTTCATTTGTTGATGCAGGCGATCTTCATTGGAAAATAGTGTCGGTTTATATCAACAGAATGGGTCAGGTTTGTTTGCTTTCTCCTTCAACCCCCAATTTTGGTGTTCTAAAAACAGGTGAAGTTTTGTTTTTTGTTATGTTTTTTTACTTAAAAACTTCAGACAATGAATTCTTTTTGTTTGCTTCCAAACAATGAAACCTCTTTCAAGGTTCAAAAATGAAATTTTTGGCTCTTTCTACATCTTTAAGGTGTAGCAAATGTAAATGACAATAAAGCATTAATTTTGAAATATGCGATAGATGAGGGATCCAAACTTTGATTTTGCGTGTTTCATAGCCCACCATTGGATTTTATTGGGTTCCCTTGGATGGGTCCACCACACAATATATGTACGCCTTGATTATATTTGTAGAGATAATGTGGGGCTAATGTGGGGCTAGTTGCTGTTACCGATTCAGTACAAAAGTTGAAATTATGCATAACGGAACAAAATTTTATTATGCATAATAATAAACCAAATGAATCAACTTTTTTGCCTTTAATCGCTGTCTTTAGTTTCTGAAAGCTGCTTCTGGATTTGCAGGTGATGCTGAAGATGAAGAGTAGACATGTTGCTGGGACCATCACAAAAAAGAAAAAGAGTGAGTCTATTGCTTTTGTCTTTCTTTGAAACCTGAAATGGTGAGGTGGGTCTTCTATATAGGGATTTGATAAAGGAATGTGCCTCCACTAAAGTAGAAAAAGGATCAAAAGATGGCTTCTTTAATTTTTGTCTGTTTATTTATTAATTTTTTACATGAGGAAAGATGTTAGGTGATTAGCATAGCGGATTAGCATGCTCCCTAAACTTGAAATTGAGAGGTACAATCATTCGAGCTATGCTAAAGTTTTTTTTGTTTTTTTGGTTTGAATTTACAGATGTGGTGGTGGAAGTATGTAAAGATGTCCCAGCGTGGCCTGGCCGCCACTTGCTTGAGGGTGGTGAACACCGTCGATACTTTGGATTGAAGACCATCACTCGCGGTGTCGTTGAGTTCGAGTGTCGGAACCAGAGGGAGTATGATGTGTGGACTCAGGGTGTCTCAAGGCTGCTCTCGATTGCGGCTGAGAGGAACAATAGACAGAATTTGAAGTTGAAGTAGAAAGTGTGAGGGGGTAGGAAGGGCAGAATGGGAAATTTGGTATAGAATATATGGGCCTTGTTTGGACTAAACCAAAATATGTATTGGAAATTGGGTGGGCAATCTCTTGATGTTCCTATTTTGTGAAAAAGAGAATTAAAGTGTAGGTTATCCAAATGGGCCTCTTTTGCTTTAATGCATATGTTTTGGTCTTTTGTTTTTTGAACTGTTAAAGTGATATTATTCATGTGAATGAAGGCCAAGGTAACCACGTGATCCAAGGCTTTGTTTACCTTTTGTTTTTTAGCACTGTTAGGACTGAAAAAGTAGTATCTTGGACTAGGATAGTCAAAAAGAGAATGAAACAAATTCCATTTTGGGTGAAGGGTATGGTCAACTATATTAACCTCTTCCCTCTTTTGAGCTTTGAAAAAATAAGGAAAATTTTAATAATTAAATTTAATTGTTATTAAGTCTTCGGTTGGTATTAATTTTTTTAGTTGATTTTTTTATATTAAGACTTTTAGTTTGGTTTTTTTAGTCTTGTTTGATTTTTTTTGATTTTTGTGAGAGAAAAAATATAATGATTATGATTTAAATGTGTTATTTTGTTTTATTGGTTTATGTATAGTTATTTTTGTTTTTTTGTACTTTTTTAACTAAAAATCAAATGCCAAACGAAACTCAAGTCTTATTAAAAATAAGTAGTAAAATTGTCAATATAAATAATTTTTTAAAATTGTCAATATAAATAATTTTTTGTGATGATTTTTTTGCATGTCAAAAATTGATAGTGATTTTTTTTGTGATAATTTTTATAAATTATCTTTCAAATTAACAATTAATGATTTTTTTTTGTAATGAATTTTTTAAATTGTTGTTGAAAATAAAAAATTAGTGATATTTTTTTTTGATAATTTTTTTGAACTGTCATTAAAATTTATAATTAACAACATTTTTTATAATAAAATTTTCAAACTGTTGTAGTTGAAAAGTAATAACTAGTAACGTTTTTTAATAGTATTTGATATATATATTTTCATGAAATCTTTAAACAATAAATTTACTTATTAAGATTTGCATGTAAATTTCTTAAAAAAAAAAATAAAATATATAAAGCATTGTGAGATTTATGTTGTATTTTTTAACATTGTAGTTCATATATTAATTTATTTTATTTTTATTGAGTCGTTTGTGAGTCTTATATATGAAAAAACAAAAGATATCCATTACATTGAAATAAGTATTTTTTGTTTTTAATTATTTTCATGTCTATGCATTATTTATATATCTATATTTGTTTTGTTTATCTTAATTCAATTTTACGGAAAAACATATATTAATGTAATGATGTTAAGGGGTTGTTTGGGATGTCTTAAATAAGTGCACTTTTTGATTTTTTAGACTAAAAAGTTGAGGAAAAAAATATAGTTGTTTGGGTTAACTTTTTGACTTTTTATAGAAAAATGTGTATTAAAAAATTGTATAAATTAGTGTGTAAGAAAAAATTAAGATTGAGAATTGTGCAGTTATACTTTTTGACTTTTAATAAATAATGATAATTTTTTAATTTTTTGAATAATTTTTTAACTTTTTGACTTTTTGAACACGTATCAAACTTAGCTTAAATTTATAAAATTTATTATATTATATTTTTCAAAGTTGGTAAAATAGGCATATGCCTAGGATGCTATGAGCTCTCTTGATCCATGTGGTCTTCTGTCTTAAAAGGTTATTATTGGAGATCGGACGGTTCTTTATTTTGTGAAAGCAGAATTTACAATAATGTTTGAGGCTATTAATTAGTAGGAAAATGAGCTATCAGGCTTGAAAATGGCTTGAGAGAAAGAGAGGGAGAGGAAGAGGGAGAGAAAGAGAGGGAGAGGAGAAAGAGAAGGGAGGGAGAGGAAGAAGGTCGGCGTCGCAGCTCCCCACCCAAAAAAATTCAAAAAACAAATATAGAAAACACAAAAATAAATCAAAATAAGCAATCTTTTTTAGTTTATTTTCATCTTTAGTGAGGTTTTTAAAACTTCTTTAAAACAAGTATACTTTTTAAACAACTCCGATTGGTAACTCGAAAAAGGCCTGGCTCGAATGGCCCGACACCAAAACGATGTCGTTTTGGTATCGAGCCGCGTTTCGAGCCGCGACATTTGAGCTACGTAGCATGATCGTAATTAGTATTATCATTAATGATGTGATATTGAGTCTCATATACTGTCACTATTTTTTTTTTCTTTTTTTTATCACTTCACTAGTAATGGATTTAGAGCCCTAAATTATTTCTGCAGAATTTATCTTCATAAGCAAGAATTTTTGTAATATTTTAATCATAAAATAAAGTGGTATGTGTTGCACTTTATCTGTGGGATATAGATGCGCTAAAAAATGTTAAATTTTGTTTCTGAAAATACTTTTTAAAAAAATATTCTAATTTTTTTCCAACTTTGGTACCTTAAAATAAAAATTAATAGAAAATATTTTCTATAATCAATGAAAATAAATTTATTTGAGTAAAAAATATTTTTATGGACCAAAATTTTACCAAAGTTTTGTTTGACATTGACTACAACAGTCAACTTTTTTAGTCTCGTTTAGTTTTTGTTTTGGGATTTTTTTGATTTTTGTAAGAGAAAAATTGTAATAATTATGGTTTGAATGTAAGATTTTGTCTTATTGACTTATATAGCCTATTTTGTCTTTTTGTACTTTTTTAATCCCAAAATATTTACCAAACGAGGACTAATACTACTAGTACATTGAAGTTGCAAATGCTAACCATGCAACTTCAGGAGGGCCTCATTTGAGACAACCATGGCAACTCAGTCATGGCTTTCTGTAGATATATAGGCAGTCCAACTTAACTGTAGAATTGTGGCTCTCAACAATAGTCTGAAATTGACTCTTGATCTGGGGCTCATACCTATTGAAATTGAATTTGCTGCTTAGATTCTTGTAAATTTGATAAGGAACAACTGTAATGAACAACACCATCTCAGCAATATTGTTTTTGATTGCGGGTTCCTCCTAGACAGCCTCGAATGGTCAACTGTTAAATAAAAGTGCGAATATGTTAGCAAATCATGAGATGCTCATTGAGAGGGAAATTCATAAATTGACATTAGGCCGAGCTAAGTTCATGCGGACATTGTGTGCGCGCTAAGCCGAGACCTCGGTCCGATCAAGTAGGAGTAACCACAAACTGCTAGCCCGGTGTAGATATGTGCTCTGCTGAATTAGACGGGTTTAGTCCTCTAAAGATCAGATTGGCCGAGCAGGAGCTCAGTCATAGCTGAAGAAGCTCAACTAAGCCACGATGTGGAATTATCAAAGAAACTGGACAAGTAGGACGGTCGTGAGGTGATGCGTGGCGTCGTGCTAAGCGTAACTCAATGGATGCAGAAGCACGCGCAGAAACTATATAGGCAGTGTTGCGCTCCTATACTCAGGTCTGAAACATTCTCTAATCAGAGCTTACCTACCACTCTGTCTCAATGGATGTAGAAGCATGCGCAGAAACTATATAAGCAGTGTTGCGCCCCCATACTCAGGTCTGGAACATCCTCTAATCAGAGCTCACTGTAGACACCCAATTTTTGACCGACCTTAAGACTCAGACGTCATCGATTGAGTGCTCGGTGATGGTGCATGTTGTACTCGTTCTGAGGTTTCGGAGTTTTGGCTGAGAGCCTTGTCTTCGGGCCTCTGAACTCTTTGTGCTTTGGCTCGGTTTGTGGACTGAATCTTGTTTTCTCTTCCCGGAGGGAGGGAGAGGTCTTGTATACCATCTCTTTGTGGTCGTAGACCATTTTTCATGGTCGTAGGTTACTTTTCCCATTTGGAGACTAGTTTCCGATTTTTGGAGCCTTTGGCTGCGCACCTTGTCTCAGGACCGCTTAACGTTCTCCGTTTGGCATGGTTTTTGAACCACACCTTGTTGCCTCTGCCTAAAGGAACACTGTGGTCCGGGAGACCACTTTTGTGGTTGCATACCACTTTTGGTGCTCGACAGCCAGTTTTCGGGGCTTTCGGCCGCGTGCTTTGTCTCCCGATCTCTTGTCTTGCATTCGCTTTGGTTTGTTTTTGGTACAAACCTTGTTTTCCTTGTTTTGAAGGTGATACAAGGGTGGGAGACCGCTTTTTCGCCTTGGAGACCACTTTTCCTTCTGCCAGCCAGTTTTCTGGTTGGATAATTAGCTTGCTTGGTCTTTGGGCCACATTTTTTGGTCGGCCACCACACCATTGCATTGTTTTCACGCTCTAGACCTCTCCCACCTATGGCCGACCAGTTGTTGCTCTCAGAGATCACTTAAAGTTTTCGGTCGACCACTTTAAGTAGCAGGCCGACCACTTCAAGTGGTCGGCTGCTTTTTAACACCTTTTTGGAGATATTTTCCTCCAGCTGGCACAACTGGAGGACATTTGGGCTATCCTCCATACACGTGTATGGAGGGATTGCCTTGGTGCTTAGCTTCTCCCAGAAGCTTTGCCTTTTCTCTTCTATAAGAGGAAGGCCCCTCCTCCCTCCTCTAGGTTCAGAAAAACCAGCTGAGAGGGATAAATATAGTGTTGTATCTGTATCTCCTTGGTTCTTCATTTTTGTCCTTCAAAAGTGTAGATTTGTCTTAGTTTAACACACAAACACACACTCAAAAACCATCCTTGGGTAGCTGAGGTGCTAAGGAATTGTTTTTGGTGTTCTTGGAATGATTTAAGCTCAAAGAATTTGCTGGAGTTGCAGTAGTAAAGAAGGTCTTCAAGGGTGAGTCTTTGACCTTTAAAATCTCCATTCTTGCTTAAGCTTTTGAGCCTATTTGCATGCTGTTTTGAGCTTGACTTATAACTGAAAAAAGTTCCATTTTTAAGTGCTTAAAATAGTTGTTTTAGGTCACTTTTTCGTTTGGGGTGATTTACCTCCTTTTAGGCCTTGTTATGCCTTATTTTGAGCCATCCCTTTAGGCTCTTGTTGAACCCTTTGCATGACCTTTCTACCGTTGAAATCCAGAGAATTTTCAGTGGTGGAAAGGTGGTTTTGGTGTCCTAAATAGGAGAGGGTCATTTCCTCTCCTTGTATTATGTTCACTAGCTTCATATGCCTCATGTTTGAGCATGTCTTTCTAGCTTGTTTTGGAGCTATCTCAGTGGATTTTTGGTGTTGTTTTAACATGCCTTAGATCTATTTTGGATTGGTTTGGTTGGCTCTTGCATTCCTAATACACTTGTAGTGTAAATCCCTTAAACTAGCTTTGTATGCTTCATGAAGTAGCATGTCATTTTAGCTTGGTTTGA